TGTCTTGGAAATCATGTTGTTGGACAACGGTGAACCTTCGAACTATGAAGAAGCGATGGCGGGCCCGAATTCCGACAAATGGCTAGAAGCCATGAAATCCGAGATAGGATCCATGTATGAAAACGAAGTATGGACTTTGACTGACTTGCCCGTTGAGCGGCGAGCCATAGAAAATAAATGGATCTTTAAGAAGAAGACAGACGTGGATGGTAATGTGACCATCTATAAAGCTCGCCTTGTCGCTAAGGGTTATCGACAAGTTCAAGGGGTTGACTACGATGAGACTTTCTCACCGGTAGCGAAGCTGAAGTCCGTCCGAATCATGTTAGCTATTGCCGCATTCTATGATTATGAAATATGGCAAATGGACGTCAAAACGGCATTCCTTAATGGTTTCCTTAAGGAAGAATTGTATATGATGCAACCGGAAGGTTTTGTTGATCCTAAGAATGCTGACAAAGTGTGCAAGCTCCAACGCTCGATTTATGGGCTGGTGCAAGCATCTCGGAGTTGGAACATTCGCTTTGATGAGATGATCAAAGCGTTTGAGTTTACGCAGACTTATGGAGAAGCATGCGTTTACAAGAAAGTGAGTGGGAGCTCTGTAGCATTTCTCATATTATATGTAGATGACATACTTTTGATGGGAAATGATATAGAACTCTTGGATAGCATTAAGGCCTACTTGAATAAGAGTTTTTCAATGAAGGACCTTGGAGAAGCTGCTTATATATTAGGCATCAAGATCTACAGAGATAGATCAAGACGCCTCATAGGTCTTTCACAAAGCACATACCTTGATAATATATTGAAGAAGTTCAATATGGATCAGTCTAAGAAGGGGTTCTTGCCTGTGTTGCAAGGTGTGAAATTGAGCTCAGCTTAATGTCCGACCACGGCAGAAGATATAGAAGAGATGAGTGTCATCCCCTATGCCTCAGCCATAGGTTCTATTATGTATGCCATGCTGTGTACCAGACCTGATGTAAACCTTGCCGTAAGTTTGGTAGGAAGGTACCAAAGTAATCCCGGCAAGGAACACTGGACAGCGGTCAAGAATATCCTGAAGTACCTAAAAAGGACTAAGGAAATGTTTCTCGTTTATGGAGGCAACGAAGAGCTCGTCGTAAAGGGTTACATCGACGCTAGCTTCGACACAGATCTGGATGACTCTAAGTCACAAACCGAATACGTGTATATTTTGAATGGTGGGGCAGTAAGCTGGTGCAGTTGCAAGCAAAGAGTCGTGGAGGAATCTACATGTGAAGCGGAGTACATGGCAGCCTCGGAGGCAGCGCATGAAGCAATTTTGGTGAAGGAGTTCATCACCGACCTAGGAGTCATACCCAATGCATCGGGGCCGATCAAGCTCTTCTGTGACAACACTGGAGCTATTGCTCTTGCCAAGGAGCCCAGGTTTCACAAGAAGACAAGGCACATCAAGCGTCGCTTCAACTCCATTCGTGAAAATGTTCAAGATGGAGACATAGATATTTGTAAAGTACACACGGACCTGAATGTAGCAGATCCGTTGACTAAACCTCTCCCTAGAGCAAAACATGATCAACACTAGAATTCCATGGGTGTTCGATTCATCACAATGTAACTAGATTATTGACTCTAGTGCAAGTGGGAGACTGTTGGAAATATGCCCTAGAGGCAATAATAAAAGCATTATTATTATATTTCCTTGTTCATGATAATTGTCTTTATTCATGCTATAATTGTGTTATCCGGAAATCGTAATACATGTGTGAATAATAGACACCAACATGTCCCTAGTAAGCCTCTAGTTGCCTAGCTCGTTGATCAACAGATAGTCATGGTTTCCTGACTATGGACATTGGATGTCATTGATAACGAGATCACATCGTTAGGAGAATGATGTGATGGACAAGACCCAATCCTAAACATAGCACAAGATCGTATAGTTCGTTTGCTAGAGTTTTCCAATGTCAAGTATCTTTTCCTTAGACCATGAGATCGTGTAACTCCCGGATACCGTAGGAGTGCTTTGGGTGTACCAAACGTCACAACGTAACTGGGTGACTATAAAGGTATACTACGGGTATCTCCGAAAATGTCTGTTGGGTTAACACGAATCAAGACTGGGATTTGTCACTCCGTATGACGGAGAGGTATCACTGGGCCCACTCGGTAATGCATCATCATAATGAGTTCAAAGTGACCAAGTGTCTGGTCACGGAATCATGCATTACGGTACGAGTAAAGTGACTTGCCGGTAACGAGATTGAACGAGGTATTGGGATACCGACGATCAAATCTCGGGCAAGTAATGTACCGATTGACAAAGGGATTGTATACGGGGTTGCTTGAATCCTCGACATCGTGGTTCATCCGGTGAGATCATCGAGGAACATGTGGGAGCCAACATGGGTATCCAGATCCCGCTGTTGGTTATTGACCGGAGAGCGATCTCGGTCATGTCTACATGTCTCCCGAACCCGTAGGGTCTACACACTTAAGGTTCGGTGACGCTAGGGTTGTAGGGATATGTATATGCAGTAACCCGAATGTTGTTCGGAGTCCCGGATGAGATCTCGGACGTCACGAGGAGTTCCGGAATGGTCCGGAGGTAAAGAATTATATATAGGAAGTGCTATTTCGGGCATCGGGACAAGTTTCGGGGTCACCGGTATTGTACCGGGACTACCGGAAGGGTCCCGGGGGTCCACCGGATGGGGCCACCTGCCCCGGGGGGCCACATGGGCTGTAGGGGGTGCGCCTTGGCCTATATGGGCCAAGGGCACCAGCCCCAAGAGGCCCATGCGCCTAGGGTTCTAGAAGGGAAGAGCCCCAAAGGGGGAAGGCACCTCCTAGGTGCCTTGGGGAGGAGGGAGTCCTCCCTTGGCCGCCGCCCCCTAGGAGATTGGATCTCCTAGGCCGGCGCCCCCCCCGGGCTCCCTATATATAGTGGGGGAAGGAGGGCCTCTCAACCACGCCTTTGGTGCCTCCCTCTCCCTCTCCAACACATCCTCCTCCTCCATAGTGCTTAGCGAAGCCCTGCCGGAGTATTGCAGCTCCATCACCACCACGCCGTCGTGCTGCTGTTGGAGCCATCTCCCTCAACCTCTCCTTTCCCCTTACTGGATCAAGAAGGAGGAGACGTTACGCTGACCGTACGTGTGTTGAACGCGGAGGTGCCGTCCGTTCGGCGCTAGGATCTCCGGTGATTTGGATCACGTCGAGTACGCCTTCCTCATCCCCGTTCTTTGAACGCTTTCGCGCGTGATCTACAAAGGTATGTAGATGCAATCCAATCACTCGTTGCTAGATGAACTTCTAGATGGATCTTGGTGAAACCGTAGGAAATTTTTTGTTTTTTGCAACGTTCCCCAACACTTTTCTCAAGAGCATAAGTATTCTACAATGGGTGAACAAATTACTGTTGAGCAATTGACAGAATTGAGCATATTTATGAGAATATCTAGGTATGATCATGTATATAGGCATCACGTCCAAGACAAGTAGACCGACTCCTGTCTGCATCTACTACTATTACTCCATTCATCGACCGCTATCCAGCATGCATCTAGAGTATTAAGTTAAAAACAGAGTAACGCCTTTAAGCAAGATGACATGATGTAGAGGGATAGTTTCATGCAATATGATAAAACCCCATCTTGTTATCCTCGATGGTAACGATACAATACGTGACTTGCTGCCCCTTCTGTCACTGGCAAAGGACACCGCAAGATCGAACCCAAAGCTAAGCACTTCTCCCATGGCAAGAACAACCAATCTAGTAGGCCAAACCAAACTGATAAATCGAAGAGACTTGCAAAGATAACCAATCATACATAAAAGAATTCAGAGGAGATTCAAATATTATTCATAGATAGACTTGATCATAAACCCACAATTCATCAATCTCAACAAACACACCACAAAAAGAAGATTACATCGAATATATCTCCACGAGAGAGGGGGAGATGAGATCCAAAAAGAGAGAAGAAGCCATCTAGCTACTAGCTATGGACCCGTAGGTCTGAAATAAACTACTCACACTTCATCGAAGAGGCTTGGATGATGATGTAGAAGCCCTCCGTGACCGATGCCCCCTCTGGCGGAGCTCCGGAACAGGTCCCAAGATGGGATCTTATGGATACAGAAACTTGCGACGGTGGAATTAGGTTTTTGGCTCCGTATCTGATCGTTTGGGCGGATATATATGGGAGGAAGAAGTACGTCGGTGGAGCTTCGAGGGGCCCACGAGGCAGGGGGACGCGCCCTCCACCCTCGTGACCGCCTCGTGACTTTCTTGACGGAGGTTCAAGTCTCCTGGGTCTTATCTGATGAGAAAATCACGTTTCCGAAGGTTTCATTCCGTTTGGACTTAGTTTGATATTTCTTTTCTTCGAAACCCTAAAACAGGAAAAAAACAGCAATTCTGGGCTGGGCCTCCGGTTAATAGGTTAGTCCCAAAAATAATATAAAAGTGGATAATAAAGCCCAATAATGTTCAAAACAATAGATAATATAGCATGGAGCAATCAAAAATTATAGATACATTGAAGACGTATCAGCGGGGCAGCCGCTTTGTTTCGGTGGACCTTTGCAACAAGGCCCTTCTTTCAAAGCCCCTAAGCGCAATAAGCTAGTTGTTGCAAAGGTTCTTGGTTGACTGGGGCGGTAGATCTGATGGCTACCGAGGCGGTTGATCTAACCAGTTTATCAGCCGGCGAACGCGTCGCACTGCCCAATATTAAATTATAGAGGAACATATTCGAAGATCATCACATAAGAAAAGCCCGAAGTTGCGAGTATTTATTTAGGAAATAGAGGATTTGTAATTGTAAGGAAAAAAAAACCTTGAATTTTGAGGTCGTGCTATAGGTACGGTCAATATCACCGTCTTGGCACGGATCTTTAAGCAACACCGAGTCTCCTTGGACCTCGCCTCGGCCAATTCGCTGGCAGATCCCCAAACCGATCAATTTTTCTCACCAAAAGGGTTTGGGCGTGTCAGGATTGGATCGATGGCCACGGCGACGGCGGCGGCAGGGGAGGTGCTGCAGCACATGGGACCGGTCCCTCGAGTGGAAGAGACCAATAATACGGCGGCGGCGGCGGAGGAACTCGGGGGAGACGACGAAGAGATCCTGCGATTCATGGACTCGGCGGACGGCTACCTCCTCCTGATGGATTCGCTCTCCTCCGCTCTTCGCCAGGTACAGAAAAAAAGCTGTTATGCAATTTCAACCTTCAGAGTAGAAAGAAGGTTGCTGAGCAGTAGTTTGCTCTGATGATTTTATCCATGTTGTATTGCTACCTACCATCCGGATCTAGGTTTTTTGCATCTAGTTCGAAAGTTGCTATGCGACAGTGCTTTTGTGAGAATTTACTGGAGAACTGTTTGCCTAATGCAGTACTGTACTGTTGCGGTTCAGAAATAAACGTGAATGATGTTCTTTATTTTCTTAGGGTTGGCTTGATCTGGCAAGTGCTCGCCACTCGATGGGCGCATCACGTGTTTCAAGTATGCTGTTTGATCATAAAGAGCAATCTGCAGCCACTAAGCTGCAAGTAGTTTATCCTGCAGACTTGCAACCATCAGGTAACCACCTGTGTATTATTTCAGTTGACAATCGTTATCGACAACTCAGAGCTGCTATGGCAATCATCCTTGTTTTCTTATGGAGTCTAATCTTTGTATCTTCTCCAAACTACTAGAGTTATAGTTCAATGTGCAAGTCATGAGCTTTTCTTTAATCATGTTTCAGAATCAAACCCACATTTTTCTCTATCAAAGTGGTGCTTGCAAGAAGAATCAAACTCCAGTGATATTGTCTGTGCGCAGGATAGCGCTACAGCAAAACTAAGGTACAGAGGATCAGCTGCTACCCCAGGTGCACTATTTCTACTTTTTTTTAGTGTTCATATGTGTTAATTAATTTCCCTTTCTCACATTCAAATCTTTTTTTGTTAGATAGATAGTAGTAATGAATCAGATGCAACTACTGCAAAGTCTTCTACTGGTGTTGACGTTAACAGTCAGGTAAAGTGCAATATAAAAGCCTGTTATCTTTTGAAAATTTGGCAGGTAAAGGCAACATATGCAAATCGTATAAATTGGACTAGTGTTGTTTTATCAAAGTGAATGTGCCAACTCTAGGTAAAGATAGAGAGAAATTTCCGGTGAATCTTCTTAAAAGCAACATAAATAGAGCACCAGTTGTGATGAATCGGTGTAAGTCAATGAAACAAAGTTTTATGTGTTTGAGCGGTTAATTTGGTCAAGCCTCACACTAATATGCCACAGGCCAGACCTGTTTGTACATCAAAATGAAGTTTCAAGGCATGCAAATATTGTAGTATAAAAGCGACACTCAGGTTTGACATGTTTTTCTGAAGTTAGTCTTGTTGAATATAGTTCATTAGGCATGACATTATAGGATCGTAAGCCTAGCATCAGATCACCTAATTGCATAATGAGCAGAGGGTGGGTTAAGATCTTATCACAAATGGGAGCAGCCATTGGTGTTGATGATGCGATGTCCCATGCCTGCTTGATGCAAGCTTGGCGTACTCGATCGCAACGGATAGCGGCGTTCCTTTGGGCACTAGCGGCACTGCCCTGGTACCAGAGCAGAGGTTGGAGGAGGTCTTCCCGTCGCGCAACTCTCCCCTAGATCAGATTAGAGCATCTCCAGTAGCTGCCCTATTTTAGGGCACTAGCTCTTTTTAGGGCACTTGGGACCAAACAAACGTCCTCCATAGCTGCCCCATCACAAAAATTTTGCAAAACTTTTTTTGGGCAGCCCTAAAATGCGGCAGCCAGTGCTGCAAATGTACATGCGGGCAGCTGCTGCAAAACCAAAATGGCCTGCAGCCAGCCCCCGCGACCTCCAACCACAGCTGCGCCTGACCGCCCACGCCGCCGCCGCCTCCAGATCCGCGACCGCCGAATCCACTCGTCTCTCTTCATCCCCAGCCGTCAAACCGACAAAATCGCGCCATTGTTGCCGTAATCTGCTGAAATCCGCCGCATCCACAGTCGAAATTCACCACATCTGTCGCGCCGCCGCCTGATCCTCCTCACCTCTCGTCATCTCTGCCTCCTTCCCCGGCTGACCCGCCGCAGCCGCCATGCTGCCAAACGGTAAGGGCAAAGCCGGCTTCAGGGAGGGGTGGGGCTTCAGCCGTCCGATTGGTTCGGCAACGAGTTATAGCATGGTGGCCGATGGTACTGGCTTGGCACCTTGCCGATGGTCGACATCGCCGCGTGGAGCCCCTTGGCGCGCGAGAGGCTCAACTTTTCGGAGATTGAGTCTCGGCAGGCGAAGGAGCTTTTCGGGCCGCCGGTGACTATTGAGTCCAGCCAGGTCAAGCTGGCCCCTGCATTGTTGTTAAGGAGCCGGACAACATCAAGGAAAGCGACGAGGAGCCGATGGCGAGGTTTGCGAGGGATCATACTAGTGGTTCATATTAGTGGTCCCATATTTCCAAGATCAAAAGACTTCCATTAAACCCATGCCGGCGAGATGCTCAAAAAATACTTTGTGGTAAGCCTTTAGTAAGTGGATTTGCAAGCATTGTCGTATTGATATGCTTAACATTAATAGTTTGATATGGGATTCTATCTTTCACAACATGATACCTTATGTCAATGTGCTTGGTAGGAACACTTGACATGTTGTTACTCACATAGAAAACTGCGAGTTCATTATCACAGTACAATGTTAGTGGTTTGAAAATGTTCTGTACCACTTTAAGTCCGGGAATGAAATTCTTCAGCCATACAGCCTGCCCGGTGGCCTCATAGGATGCTATTAATTCCGCATGCATCGTAAATGAGGCATTTATCGTTTGCTTGGAGCTTTTCCATGATATCTCCTCCAGTGAGTGTGAATATATAATCTGACATGGATTTTACTATCCACACACCTGGCAAGATCAGAGTCTGAATAACCAATAACTTCTAGGTTATCAGACTTCCTATATGTAAGCATGAAATTCTTAGTGCCTTCCATGTAACACCACTTTCTTTGTGGCCTTCCAGGTGGTCTGGTCCTGGATTAGATTGGAATCTACCAAGCATCCAGTTACCAAAGCTAGGTCTGGGCGTGTACATACTTGAGCATACATGATGCTTTCAACAACTTAAGCGTAAGGAACCGATTTCATCTATCAGTTTCATTTTGGTTCCTTGGACATTGGAATGTCCCAAACTTATCACCCTTGACTATAGGGGCAGGCGAGGAAGAGCACTTATGCCTATTGTATTTCTTTAGCACTCTCTCAAAGTATGCCTTTTGAGATAGTCCCAATGTTCATTTGGACCCATCTCGATGAATCTCAATGCCAAGGACATACAAGACTTTACCGAGATCCTTCATATCATAATTTGAAGACAAATCTCTTGGTCTCATGCATCATATCCTTATCGCTGCAAGCCAACAGAATGTCATCCACATATAGGACTAGGATTGTGAACATACTACCTTTAAATTTAACATATATTCAGTTTTCCATTTCATTTTCTTTAAAATGAAAAGTTCTTATAACCTCATCGAACTTGAGGTGAGGTACCATTGCCTTGAAGCTTGCTTCAAGCCATATATGGACTTCTTTAAACGACATGCCATGCGTTCTTTTCCTTTCACAGCAAAACCTTCCGGTTGAGTCATGTAAACATCTTTGTTCAAGTTGCCATTCAAGAATGTCGTCTTAACATCCATTTGATGTAGTTCTAAATCATAATCATCCAATTGATCCCTTCCCTATGTGTGAAACCTTTTGCTACAAGTGTCGCTTGAACCTTTCGACGTTCCCTTTGGAATCATATTTGGTTTCCTAGACCCGCTTGCAGCCTGTCATTTTGGCTCCATCTGGAACTTCTACTAAGTCTGAAACATCGTTTGAGCTCATGGACTTCAATTCGTCTTCCATGGCGGGTAACAATTTGGACAAATTTTCATTTTTAGTGGCTTCCTTATTTGAGGTCCGATCTTCTACCTTCCCCATGTCACTTACATCCTTGCTCATGTAAGTGACAAAGTCGCTCAGGGTGGTTCGTTTTCTTTCCAATTGTGTGGTCTTCTCACATGCTCATTAATTTATACTTCCTCCGTCCCATAATGTAAGACGTTTTTTGACACTACTAGTGTAAAAAAACGTCTTACATTATGGGGGATGGAAGGAGTACATTTCTTCTTGCACCGGAAGGGTGAGGATTAACATCGGGGTGAGGATCATCATTGGGTTAAGAATCCTAATTATGCTGAGGATCCACATCAGATTCAGGATCACCAGTAGGTGCCCCGTGCATATTGGGCGTAGGGGTAAAGTTCTTTTGGATAATCGGGGATGGAACATACACCTGCTTCTCTTCAAGATCAATTGCCCTAACCTTAGTGACTTCATTATCTTCAAAAAACACCGCTTGTCTGGTCTCCACAAACTTGGTGGTATGACCCTAGCAATAAAAATGACATCCTTTTCCTCTATGAGTATGGTGCACATAGCTCCCACTTGCGCAGGGTTCGGGGAAGGGTCCGACCACTTTGGGTGTGTGAGGGTACCCAATGAAAAAAAAATCAACTGTCTTTTGGTCCAACTTCTTAATTTGTGGATTGAATACTTTACCTTCAGCAGGGCAGCCCCACTGACGTTAGTAATTCAAGCTCGGTTTCTTTCCCGTCCACTTCTCTTAAGTTGTGCTTGGTGCTGACTTAGTTGGAGCAAGATTCAGGATGTGTGCAACTATTTTCAATGCCTCCATCCATACTCCATAGACTTACTGGTAAACTTGCATGAATAAGCATGCTCCGCATCATATCCATAAGGGTGTGGTTGCGACGCTCAGCTGCTCCATTTTTCTGAGGTTCACCTGGCATTGAATATTGGACAACAATTCCATTTTCAGCAAAATTTATGCAATTAATGGCTGCCATTTTTATGGCATAATTACGAGGTCTCGGTAATATCAATAATTGATGTCTTAATAATGTTGAAAAGTGATATTAACATCATTGTAATTCCGACCAATGTTGTTTTGCAATTTTATTAATTTTGCATGCAAATTGATCAAACCAACGTAGGGGTAATTTTTGTGCAATTTTATTCAGTTATGTTCTTCTCCTTATGAATATTTTGAAATTATGACAACTTTTGATCCTCATGGTTTCAAGAACATCGAGCCGCTTACTGGAAATAATTTCCAGGCATGGAAAGACTCGTTGTTGTTGCACTTAGGTTGACATGACCTTGATTTGAGGGAAAGTAAACTAGAGGAACCTAAAATGGTGCCACTGGGTATGCTGACCTTACAAATGCTTATGATATTAAAGTTCAGAAATGAGACTCCTTGTTATGAATTTCTCTATCTCAATTGATATAAAAGGGGCTATTCCCATGAAAGAGAATGCCGAATATTTAAATCAGTGGAGGAGCAATTTAAGGGCTCAGAAAAAGCTCTTACATAAGCTTCTGGCCACATATGATGGGCACGGAAATGTGAAGGAACATATCTTAAGTATGAGCAATCCTTCAGCAAAGCTCAAAATAATAAAAGTGGCGCATAGCTCATGTCAAAGGAGCTTTGCCGAAGCATTGCTCATACTTAAGATATGTTCCCTCACATTTCCGTGCCCATCATATTTGGCAAGCATCTTATGTAAGAGCTCATCGGCATATACTTTTTCTAAGCCCTTAAACTGTTCCTTCATTGATTTTAAATATTCAGCAACATTCTCGTTCACGGCGATAGAGTTTTATTAGAAATTCATAATGAGGAGTCCCATTTCTCAATTTTAACATCATAGGCCTTTTTAAGGTCAGCATACCCACTGACATCCTTTTTAGGCTCCTATGACTTACTTTTGCTCAAAGTGAGGTTCACTCCTTGCCGGCCTAAGTGCAACAGAGTCTTTTCATGTCTGGAAATTGTTGTTCTTGAAACCACGAGGATTGGGAGTTGTCACAACTTTACAATATTCGTAAGTAAAGGCAAAGAACATAATAATTGAATAAAATTGCATGAAAAATAACCCTAAGTTGGTTTGATCAATTTGCATGCAAAATTAATTCCAAATTATATCACCGTTGGGTAGAAATAAGTAAGAAATTAATGGAGGGCGATTGAAACATTGCAAAACAACATCGGTCGGAATTGCAATGATGATCAGATTAATCTCAAAGCTAAAATCAATTTTTTTAACATTATTAACACATCATTTATTGATATTACCAAGAGACCTCATAATTATGCCATAATGATGACATAGAGGTTAACTGCATATTTCTTTTGGTTCCATTCTATTCAGAATAGTAAATCATAATTTACAACATATTTTCTGCCTATTTTCAATTTACAACAGTGCAAAAACATACTGATTTTGAGATTAATCATAATACATAAATGCAGTAAATAAAAAGAAAAATGTGCAGAACATCAGTTTAGGCTCAATAACCCGTTGCTGCATGTTATTTATTCGCCCAGCAAGAAAGAATCTTCAAGGAAAAATATAACCCCGTCGGGCCAACACAACCTAGGCCTCGGCCCATGACCATAATTGGTCTGCCAAGACCCAAAAGCCCACTTGCGCGTCAGTTTCAATCGTATGATCGAATCAACGATTGGGATCAATATGAGGCGGAACAAAACGGCTCCGGATCAAAACCCTAGCTTCATTTCCCATGTCTCCCTTGATTTTCGGAGCGGCGACCCAAGTTCGTTGACCATGTCGGCGCGCTGGCTGTGCTCGACGAAGCAGCGTGCAGTGAACCGAGTCCCGCGCGCTCCTATGCCGAGTGTGGCTATTGGCAACACACACACATGGCCCATCAGTGGCGTCATTGGGGACGCTTGTACCGGCGACTGCCGGTGCAATCTTTGTAGGCGACGCCGGCGTGCAAGGCGCGGACAGCTAGTGTCCATGAGCGCAACAGTCTCTTCTGCTTCTTTTCGTGCCTGGCCCCGAGCGAAGGCGGTGTCGCTGACGTCAAAGAGCACGACGCGAACTCATTTGGTGAGCCCCAAATCTTCTTCTTTTCTCAATTTCAACATTTGGGCTTTGATGGGGGATTGTCTTAATTAGGGTTCGGGTTTCAGTCGAATTAGGGAAAATTTGGGGGTTTCTTGATTTTGCCAATTCGTCTTGTTCTTATTGCTACTAGCACATATGCCTGTGCTTTGCAGAATTGATAAATACTTGAATTTAGTGAAACCTGTGTGTGCAAGTAGAATGCCTCATGCTGCAATGTGAAGAAAACTCTACTCGCCTCATCCACCAAAAACGCTCACCAATGCGGCACGGCAACATCTGGGCGGTGCCACCCGGCAGCATGGAGACCTAAATTTCAATTGAACTCCCGCAATTAATGCTTCCAATTTAATGGGGCCTTTACCATCATTGATCCAAGCAATTTAATCTCGCTTCCGCAGCCTCTCTTCTGTTTCCCAAGGGATAAATCATATCAGCGTCTCACCCTCTGCTTATCAATTTCCAAGACAGCTTGTTGATACCCAAGGTAACTCGGGGATGCATATAAATTGATGGGATTCAACGTAAAAAAGCAAGGTGGGACTATTTAACAAGTGAACAAACATGAAAAAATGCAGATTATAGGATTGTTGCTATGTTGCCCTGCCTGGGCCTTGGGCTGTACGAAGCAGCTGAAGCGGCGAGAGAAGCAGCCTTTGTGCGGAGGCTGGGGCACTATACCGTTAATGGATAAAATATATTTAGTCTCTTTCTATTGCACATAATAGTAGCTTGGTTTTGTGGCTAGCACGTGAAGCTGCTGAATTGTTGATCTTGGGATCGAATCACCCTCTGGCATTTAATTTATACACGAGAGGGGGTGTTGAAGTGTATATGTGGGTTGCCTAGCCCTTTCCATTAGTTCGTACTTTTGGTTGCGGTGGCTAGTACATGAAGCTTAACAATAATTACCTAATTAGCACTAACCCATAGCTATTTAGGCCTTGACCCAAACCTATTAAGCCTATACATTAATCATTTTACTTTAACATAGGCCATTAATCAATATGCATTAACCATTAGACTTAAACAATAATCTTTAGTAGTTAATCATGATCATTAACATGAACATACCGTCATTAGGAATCTAATCTAGGCATAAGTAGCTCTGATACCATTGTTGGATATAATTCATTGGGCATGATATTATAGGATCGTAATCCTAGCATCAGATCACGTAATAATTGTGCAATGAAGCAAGGGTGGTTTAGGATCTTACCGCCAATGGGAGCAGACATTGGTGTTGATGATGTGATGTCTCGTGCCTGCTTGATGTAGGCATGATGCAGGCTCGGTGTGGTCGATTGCAGCGGATTGCAGCGTCCCTCCGAGCGCCAGCGGCACTGCCCTGCTACGGGAGCAAAGGTCGGAGGTCTTCCTGTCGCACAACGCTCCCCCAGATCAGATTAGGGGTTTTGGGATGTAGGAGGCAGAGTAGATAGATGAACGTGAACAAGTCAGATCGTGTGTGGCCGGCTGTCACTCCTCTTTATATATATATGGTGCTGGCGATCAGGGCGCGTTAGTTGGGGACTTAGGGTCAAAGGGGTACGAACGTTGGTTTGTGACCACCTCCCCTTAACGTTAAGTTATCCTTCAGCCCATTGGGCCTAGATCAATACCAACAAGCCTGGCTTGTGAACTGTACCCAAGTTTGACATTTGTGCTAGTAAACTCAGAATTTGGCAATCGTATCTGAAAATGATGAAAAACAGCAGATTCAGTCAGGGGCCAGAAACTGAGCCGCACAACACAGCTACATATTGGCCCATAAATAAGAAAGTTGTATAATTTGTAAATGCTTAAATTCTATTGATTCTTCTTTTGCTTTGTACCTAAGGTTCAAAAGGCGAGATCAAAAGCATTATCAGTCTTTGGAGCATTGGTGTCTCCAAAACTGCGAACGGCCCAAGTTTCCTTTGAAACAGGTTCTGTTTCTAACAAAGAACAAACTCTGCTTTAATCTTTATGTTGATCTAACTGATATTTTTGTTTCATGTAGCACTTGAACTAATTGTGGAGTTAGCTAATGCAAGATCAGCCATCCTCTCTAGTTTCTCCCAGATAAAGCATGAAGCATGATTTCCTACCTGAGTTTGAGGTTCTGTATCCTTGCGCGCCATCTATCCTATTTGGGTTACCAGCAATTATACAATCAGCAATGGCTGTGGACACTATATGAACTGTTGATGTACGTGTGGGAATGTATATTTTTGTCCATTTGTTTGTTGTACTTTGACTTTCCTTATCAACCATGGGAACAAAGACAGTAGTTTTTTTTGTAAGTTGATATTCATTTACCAAGTTAAACTCTCTGATTATCACAACTGCAAATTTAGGTTTGTATGGTTGAAATAGAAACATAAATACATCCGAGTTGCCTAGCCTGTAACCAGGGGCCTGATGACATAAGACATATGTTGTTCGAATGCAAATTGGCAATGGACGTGTGGAAGATGCTCGGTCTTGAGCTTGTTATCAAACAGGCACTGAAAGTTGACAAGGCAGGTGAGCTTGTGTTGGCACATCTTTTGTGCCATCCAGAACAACAAATTCAAGTGTTGGGCTTGCCGAAGTTCAGAGAAACGATGGCAACGACGGCTTGGTATCTGTGGTATGAAAGGCGAAAATTGACACATGACGAAGAAACTCAAAGTGCATATCAAATCAATATGTCAGTGAGAGGCTTAGTAGCAAATTATACCATCTCTTATAGCCCAAAGGCTCACGTCCGTTCAGATGCTTGGTTGAAACCAAAGTATGGTTACGTGAAATTAAATGTTGACGCGGGATTTGATAGTGACACACTCGCAGCAACATTTGGAGCAGTTATCCAGGACCATGGGAGGAAATTTATAGCGGCTGCTAATAAAAAGATGGACCTTTGCTTTGACTTGTTCACAGCAGAAGCAATTGCAGTGAGGTTTGGTTTGAATCTTGCTAATACCGTTGGATGTAGTAAGATTGAAGTGACTTCGGATAGCGTGGAGGTGGTGAATGCGTTGAGCCAAGGCTACTCTTCTTCAGTCGCTTCATCCATTATAGACGACTATTATTTCATGTCATTAGGTTTTTTCCATGTCATTTATGATCATTGTAATAGGGAATATAATCGAGTAGCTCATGAACTAGCAAGGTTAGCTAGGTTTTCTTCTTCGAGTGTTTGGATGGATAACGCCTCTAATGAGGTTATCCCTTTACTTGTAAACGATGCTACTTTACTTATGAATGAATAAAGAAGAAGAAGTTTATAAAAAAAAACATAAATACATTTTGGTCCCAGGATTAGTCGGAGGCTTCAACATGTTCTTGGTCGACGCGCCAACTTGCTACCAGAGTACTCATCGTTTTAGGTCCTACTCCTATGATTTGCCTTTTAGGTCTACTATTGGAGAGATTTATGTGTTCTCCTCCAGTTCTTTCTTTTATCATCTGAGTACGCATTGTTTTCACACCCAACAGTAGAAAGGCTAGAAGGCAACAACACACATTGAGTTGGTGACTTGTTGTGAAAGGGTCAGCACTCGTTTTATCATGAAAGATAGTCTTCCCAGAATGGTCTACACCTTCGGGGTTTTTCTGTTTCACCCTGCTTGAATCTTTGTCAAATACTCCCTCCGTCCCAGTAATGTAAGACGTTTTTTTTGACACTAGTGGACGGAGGGAGTATTTCGCAGCATGCTGTACCGGCCTGTTGAATCTCATGGACAGAGATGATGGATTTCCCGCCAAATACTGGGTCTGCAGAGATGATGGATTTCCCGCTCGATCCTTAAGTAGGTACAGGAAAGAACCATCAGATCGTTGGATCTTGAATCCAGGGCCTAGGACAGTGCCTCCCAGATAACAAGTGAAGCATATTTTTCTTACCTGAAGCAGCAAAGCATATTGGCCGCATGAATTTAGTTTTCACATCACAAAATGGTAATGAGGCAGCTCTAGTTAATATAGCTGTGGGAATTTGCTGCTGCGATCTAGTAGCTGGAGTAGCCGAGGCGCTAGTTACATTGCTTAAGTGTCCCACAGACTGTTAGTGTTTGGCTTAACAGGGTCCTTTTTTGAGCCTCTATGCCACGTAGCTTCACTTGTATTGCACGCTATTGTTCAGGGAAAAGGGCGATCTTACCAGTATTCTTCTCTTGCTCATGTTCTGGATACTCTGAAGTTAGTATTTACCAACATCCATATTTGTACCCAACTTCATATCCAAGATAAACGTTTCAGTCAGGATAATAGAGGTCTGTTATCCGACCGCTTTTCATCATAACAACTACTTACTTCTGGGAGATACATCAGGGGTCCCTTAACCGAGAAATTTGAGTTTCTATTGTTATGATTCAAAGCACTTGGGAGCGAAAGGGCATTGTTTACATGGCTTTTCACATGAATGTTCTGGCAGACAAATCACAGCTGAGAAGCATGAACGCCGATGAGGATAGGCCAAGCACATTCACATTCGTAATGTGTAGACTAGATCCATCTGATAGCTGTCCGGCTTAGTCGAGGCTTTGTTATACACACACCTTGTGGCCTGTAAATGGCGAATACACGTCTTCGGAGCAGACCTCCCAATTGGTTACACTCACCAGCCAGAAATATGTTGGCATATGATTAGGCAGGCAACAATTTGCCGACAAGATTGTCTTCTACATCAGATTTCCTTTGGTTGCAAATGCTCCATTAATATACGTATCTGTTGAACGAAGCTGAGCACTTAGTAACCCTGCAAGCTCAAATGCAGGATCAGACAACATAGTAAGAACAAATACTTTTTGTTGCGGTAAAAATGAAGGAAACAAAAAACACCGGTCACTAGCTAACTGTGCAATCGAAGACTAGTCTGAATATGAATGACTAAAGCGCAATACATGCACTCGAAAAAGAGCATAAATTATGCAATATGTGCATGCTTTGATTCAAGGGTACCTTAATATCCTGTTCCTTCCAGTGCGAGTCAGGTCTGGGAAGTTCCAGCTCACAACTTTAATAGGACCACGCAGTCAATTTGGTGCTATTCTTGGCTTGCATCATCAACCAATTGGTACCTTGATCTCACAGTCTGCATCAATTCAATTGTTTTTGTTATTATGTTCTCTTGGAGAAGCTTTTGGCATGAGTTGCGGAGTAAAAATAGCAGAGATACTCCCTCCGTTCCAAAATAGATGACTCAACTTTGTACTAACTTTAGTACAAAGTTGAGTCATCTATTTTGGAATGGAGAGTAGTTCTTAAGCAGAAGGCAGACTAAATGATGCAAGAAACCTCTAGAAGTGTGACGTAGTAAAAGTCTTCCATGTGCTGCATAAGAGCTGAGCCATCCCTGATTGAGCGAAGTAGATTTATCTCCGTCTGGAGTAGTTTTTCCACAAGCTGTGTCTCTCCTTTCATCTGGAAAGAGTTTAATATGCCCAACTAGTCAAATACAATTTGAGTAACATCAATTTTATTTAGCTATGCATTATTTTTTCTCTTCCTAATGTTTCATGCTTAAAATAACATATGACTATTTATAGGGTATGTTTGGATGGTGACCAAAATCAGCCATGCCAGTTTTTTCGCAATAGCCAAAAATTTGGCTCTTGTTTGGATGGTTGCCAATACTTTGGCATACATATGCCCTCCAGCCAACTATAGTTACATTTTTTTTGCTAACATTGACCAAAAATATTGGCTAGCCAAATCTTGGTAGGGCTAGCTTGGGCTAAAATCAAACGCACCCATATTGCTAAAAACTAGAATACAAATCTTCTTGTGGCATTTCCTATACAGGTAAACATATCAGCTTGTGGTTGGTAATCTGCAAGCAATGTCACTATGGTAAGGAGAAAAAGACACTCACAAATTCACTAACAAGCACGTCAGGGGTGTACTCGCCTATCTCATCACCTTGGTCTTCATCCAAAATTTCCTTTGCCTGTGTCAGAATACAAATGCAGTTCTAAGTTCGTGTGAAAACTTGAAGATATGAAGGATTAAAGCAGGAAATGTTGACAATACTTAACCAAATATACTATTAGAAAAAAAGGTGGATTGAGACTAAAAGGTTATACAAAACAATTTTACCAGTGCATCTGTTAGATTTCCACATTTAAGATAAACTGGTGTTTCCACATGGCAATAGCCCATAAGACGTGGCACTGTTGGAATGATATCTCGATGATTGACAACTCTCCAGCTATCTTTTACTTTCTGCATATATTTATCCAAAAAAAGTTCAAATTCAAAAAACAGGCTGTGATCACAATCTGCACTACCAACTTAATTCATATAATGATACATTTACACATGATTCAATACATGAAAACAGCCCTCCATGATTCGCAGTTGAATTTTAGCATGTTTCTATTTAGTAAATGGTCTATGAATAGAGTTGCAAAATTCAGTTACCGCATTGTAGACATCAGCAAACCTTCTATTTCCAACTCTAGGAGAGCCAAAATTGTACACTGTCACGAATATAACACCATTCCTATACAAGGGGACATGAAAAAAATATGAGCATCCACCGAATATAAATTTTGCAAACTGCAGGACAAGAGGTAAATAGCATACATACATATCTTTGGTGTACTATGTTGACACGTTTATAACAGAAGCAAAAATAAGTTGGAAGCCAGGTGTTAGTTGTGCACTGTAAATTCTATTAAGCATTACGTGTTTAGCAAAACTTAAAATAAAATGAAAGAGCATCCTGACGATGCTCTCTTTCTTTGTTACACGGGCTAAGGTTTTGTAATTCTAGGGTGGGACAGTTAAAACTTCGTCAAAGCATTTTAGCCAAGTATTTGGTATCACTTAACTAAGATTGTCTCGTGTGTTAGATGTTTGACTGAATCTTCTTTCCACGTAAACCCTGGACTGAATGGAATCATATTGTCTATATGAAACAACAAGGTTATGGATCAAAATCAAGTCAAGCTTACTTAGCCATTTGACTTGATGAAAGTTCAAGAGCGAGAAGGGTTGCCAGTGCTCCACCTAAACTATGTCCAGTTATGTAGACGTGCCACGTAGGTATGGTTTCTGCATCTTCTTCATCCCTACAGTGGAGAAATAAGATGCTCTATGAATAAGGTTAGCGAGAACTAATTGAAAAAAAGGATTGATAGCACAAAAGGTACAACTTGAGTTTTTCCTGCTGCATCATTTCGGACTAACTGCTACTTTAGTTTACAATACAAGAGATGCTTATTTTGTACTCCCTCAGTCCCAAAATAAGTGACTCAGTACAAAGTTAGTACAAACTTGAGTCACTTATTTTGGGACGGAGGGAGTAATAAAATACTCACATATATCCAATGGCGTGTCTGACAAGAGCCATGATCCTATTCCTAACAGAGTCATATGCGCTTAAGAATCCACTGTGAACCTAAAACATAATATGACATTAAGCTGGTAAGCTTACACTGACAGCAAACAGATAAACAAGTGAATGCAGAGAATATATTACTAACTTGAACTTCTTGTTTGAAGTCACCACCCAGCCTCTCAGGGTTTAGTCTGGAATCAACTTCAAAATATGCTGTGTTAAGTAAACATACAAGAAAGTAAAATACTCCCTCCATTCTTAAATGTAAGTCTTTTTAGAGATTCCAATAAGAGACTACATACGGAGCAAAATGAGTGGATCTACACTCTAAAATATGTCTATATACATCTGTATGTAGTTTGTATTGAAATCTCTAGAAAGACTTATATTTAGAAACGGAGGGAGTACATTTTAATGGTAGCAATTCTTAAAATGAAAACGCAGAAACTAATGGGGAAAAAACTGTGATGTGTTAACTCTTACCCAGCAGGGACAAGCATCAAGTCCGTTATCAAATCCTTCCACCTTGTCTGAGAGGACACACAGAAACCAAAGTAAATAAGATGGTAGATGGAGAAGTTAATTAGTACATATTTCATTCAGAGAATAGAAGTGGGTCCTTCATGTTATTATTGCATACTTGCTCAGTCCCTCGAAAGGCAACAACCAGTCTTCTTCGTGAAGAATCACGCCAAATGGCAACCTGCAGAGGTTTGTTAACATATGCAACACAACACAAAGGCAAGGAGACAGCAAAACTCACTGATGCCACAATAGCTAACGTTACTCACCTGTGTGTCCGTTGAAACATTATCCAGAAAACATATCTTCTCAAAGTCTGATTTTATAAAACTGGAACGCCCCATTGAAGTGGCAAGCATAGCCCATGCCTCCACAGCAGTCTCGGCACTTGCAAACAGTTGACGTGTATCATCTGTTTTCTGTGTATTTATGGACACTTCGGTGGATGCAACAGCAGCACCATCCTCATCAACAGAATCTGCAGCACCTTGTTCTTCTGCGTTCGAATTATCTTTCTGGTTTGCTTCGTCTACTGAATCCTTGCCTTGGGATGAGAAGTTCTTAGAAAGAATCACCAAAGCTCCTAGTACATTCTCTGTTTGAGACAATACATCACGAGATACTTCATTAATGTCTGGAAAGGAAGCCTGCACTGCTTCTTTAGCAGGCTTTGTGCTATCTTCATTGTCAACACTGACTGTATGTTCAGGAGTTGTTTCGCTGCCATCACTGGTTGATGTATCTGCTGTCGCCAGTCCAGATTCTAAATATAGCTGTTCAGCCATTTCACGTGATTTTGATCCAAGTGAACTTAGCAGGTCAAATCCATCCAATTGCTTAGCCTCTGGAAGAGAATATCCAAAGTTCTTAAGAACATTTTGGTTGAGTGTTTTGGTGAAAGCACTCCAGAAGTACTCATCAGGTTCCTTCATATCGGTTGATGTGTTTCCCTCACTGTTAACAACGGCAGCAGTGTCTACAGGTTCACTCAGGGAATCTGAGTTCTCTCCAAAAGCTATCGAATCAATCTTCTGCTGTTGCAGTTCATCTGAACTAATAGAGTTATCCATGGATTCGTCAGGCCTTTCAGAAACCTCAGCTTCACTATCAGAAGACGATGACTTTAGAAGGTTTGTGTCAGTTAAAGAACTCAGTTGCCCAAATGCAGATTGCACGAACTGGCTTGCATTTACAGTTTCAGATCCAAGGACCGTCCTAAGAGCAGATCCTAGGCTGCTCTCTTCAAGAAAGTCAGACACAAAAGGTGTTCTCCACCATTGTTTATCACGCTCAATGTCATCATAACTCTTGTATTTGACCTAGTGTGTTAATAATAAGAATTAAGATAAACCTGAAATCAAGTCTGGCATTGTTTAAGGACTGAACTATTGATATACAGAAGATAACGTGTAGGCTGTCCGTATACCATCTTACCTGTTTGTGCTAGGAGAACAGCAGCAATGCATAATAGATGGGGATCCCTGATAAATATAAAATGCAGTAAACTACCAGCGAAATTTGCCTATGTACTCCTCGGTATACGACTATACATCATTAGAAAGACCATTTTACCAATGAGTAGCCAACTGTGAAAATTATTCTGCTGGTTTTGCTTTTAGAAGGATGAAAGAAAAAATGGAGATTTTTCTTTAGGAAGGTACTTTGTATCCCTCTGGGAAACAAGGATCAGTTCACTATGGCATACACATTCCAAGGGAGTACAGTGATGACCAGACTAATTTTTTTCTTGTAGAGATCTTATTCTTACCTCCAAATCAATAGTTCCACCACCATCAGCACCAAGGCCTTCTAATTCGACAGTGATGTCATGTTTATTTCCTAAAAAGAACAAGGTTATCCCAAAAGTCTCCAAATGAATTCATATAATCATATTAAATATTATTGGAGAACATAATGTCTGATTGCACTAAAAGCAATGTTATCACATGCACTTGCACTGTGAAAAATGAACTAGCACGGCAAGAAGTTACCATCCTAGATCTATACATATTTTCATTTGGTCAAACTGCTATAACTGATAAAGTAGTTAGAGTGACATAGTTCCTCTAGGAGTTGCATACAGCCATACAGTGGTATAGATCAGCAACGCTGAATGCAATTGAGCAACATGTGCAGTCGTCACCACAGTTCCAATAACAGTAACTGTATCTGATCCAAGGAGTTCTAACACAGTTGGTAGATTGCATCTTGGACGTTTTCAAATGGGTGGTATTAGTAAGTTACTCTGATTTTTCAACTGAGACAGGTTTATTAAAATCTGCTCCCAAGTTGGTCTGGTTACAAAATGTAGCATTTTTCTATCCGATTAAGAGTCAATACTCCATAAGCACACACACACACACAACAGATGGAAACTCTGTACGTCTCAAATTTCTTCATAGATCGGAAAATGGTCAGCTCAATTCCTGTATGGATTTTGGATTGGGGTCTGTACACACGACACAAGTTCCACTCAGAATGAGTAAAACAGCATCCATGGCCCCATATTGAAATACCTTATAATCACGAAAAGAAGTATCAAAGAACAAACTGTCATTTTTTGGGTCAATACAGAGAGTTACCATCACAAAGTGTTTCAAGATACAACCCAGCATTTCCCATTCGTTTGTGTGGGGTGATAAGGTTTGCATCCCAAGCCTCAACCTATTGAAAAAAATGGCACCAGATGCAAAAAAAGAAAGGCACAAATATTATCTGTGGTGATACCAGAATATAATGAAGTAGGTGATTAGAAGGAAAATTACAAGATGCATACAATTGGTTGATATGGCTATGTCACTTGCTATACAATGTAATGTATAGTTTGCTCATCTACTTGTTGATTAAATAGAAGAAATTTCGAATTTGCACCATGTACTCCAGTCATCTGATACCTCTGATTCTGAGTTAACCCCACAACAGAGAGCTGAGATTTGTATTTTAGTGTGTTATTAAACTTAGCAACCATGGAAACCTCACTGGTTCACTCTAAAGAACCAGATTCGGGATTATCGTAGACCTGAACAGTATTCGCTGATTTCCAAGATGCAGAACTATACAACAACAAAGATATTATCTAGTACACAGCTTAAAGTGAGTCCAATATCACTATGAGCTCACATTACTTCTTCATACCTGGAGTAGATTTTCTAGAGACGTCCTAATGTTAAATGTGAAATCTTGATTCCAGGTTGGCTCCTTCGTCCTACATTAATCAACTGCTGGAATCAGAAACTCCAGCGACGATGGAAAAAAATAGCGATCTCAAGTGTATCAAACATTTTATCAAGAAACCAACCCCATTAGGCGTGATATATATCACATACATTATTTTCATAATATAAAGAGGAAATTTCCAACTCAAAAAGAAAGAGTTACTCACCCCCATTTAATTTGGCTCTTTGCAGTTTGACCGTTAAGTTGTAGAACTACATAAGGATCACTTGTACCCTGAAATGGAAGGAGAAGGAAGTTGTTGATGAAGTAGAAGAAAAGAGCTTCATGTAGCTTCATGTAATGGTAGTTAAAATGTGTAAACTACTGATTCATTCAGTAAATATGGGAGCTCTCAAACTTCTTGGGCCACTTATATTAAAACTGAGAATAGTATCCATAGATTGTCCCAGATATCTTAGATAACTATATTCAGCAACTGACAGTATATTTTTTACTATACCCATCCATTATTCAGTATTCTCCGCAACGAAATAACTGAAGCGCCATGAACAAATAACATATGCAGCATATATATACTGAAGAAACAAACAGTAACTACTCACTAACATATTCATCACCATACCCATGGATCCATTGCAGGAAGACTGTTGCCTTTCTTGAGCCTCACAACTAGTTGGCCATCGTATACTTCATGGAGAAACACACTGCAATATCCACCGCACCATTCACAGCATTTAGAGTGACGACAGCTTTCAGAATTGCATTGCCCTAGTTGGTCAGAACCACAAATACTTGCAGGTTGCAGCGCAATTCACAAACATTACGATCCGGTCTCTGTGGGGAAAGGATACGGCCACAACTTACTCGGATAGGAACACCGTCTGACACTCGGCCGCGTCCGTCTCGCGCCAGCCCGCATCTGCCTGCCAAACCAGACGAACAGAACGCTTGCCTCCATCAGCTCCCAGGAACACACACAGGATTTGTTGACGTATAAATATATTGCCTAGTCTCTTCCATCAGATCGGTCTTTTGGTTGTTCTCCCTCCATCCTTGAAAGAGTATACTTCCAACTTTGTTGGAGAGTCAAACTATTTGAAAGTTTGACCGAGTTTGTGAAAAAATATATCAATGTTTGTGAAACCAAATAGGTATATGATGAAAATATATTATATCATGAATCGAATGCTACTAATTTGACGGCATAACTATTGGTGTATTATTGTATAAATACAGTCAAGCATAAAGTTTGACTTCCCAAGAAAGTTGGAAGTACACTCTTCGAAGGACGGAGGGAGTATTGGTTAGAGCCTCCTTTGGTTCATAGGAATATTGTAGGAATTGCAAAGGATAGGAACTTTGTAGGAAAAATTCCTTTGGAGCCCTTTGGTTTGTAGGAATGGATTCCTATTCCTATGTAGAATAGGAATCAATCCTTCACATTTCAAAAGAAAAAAAACATTAGCCTAGACTCAATGGAAAAATTCTTAGGCTTCTTTTGGTTCATAGGATAGGATTATCATAGGAATAGGAATCTTGTAGGAAATGAGATGACATGTATCTCAAATCCTATGAGTAGGAATAGGAAACAAGAGGTCATTTGGTTGACACCAAAGGAATTTTTCCATTGAGTCTAGGCTCTTTTTTATTTTCCTATGAAATGTGGAGGATAGGAACCAATCCTATGTAGGAATAGGAATCCATTCCTATGAACCAAAGAGCTCTAAAGGCAAAAATTCTATAAGAATCTTATCCTCTAGAATTCCTATGAAATTCCTCTAAACCAAAGGAGGCCTTATCCTATGCATCAAATGACATCTCTTTCTCTATAGGATTTAAGATGCATGCCAATCTCACTTCCCGTGATTTTCCTATTCCTATTCCTATACTAGTGCAGTTGAAGGATGATGGGTAGAAGGGGGACAGGGGGCTCACGGGTGGGGTGCTGTAGGCTTCGAACGCGAAGCCGGCGAGCACGACGGCGAGGTTGAGGTCGAACTGCGGGTGCGGCTGCTCCTCGTCCCCGACCGACCCGTCGTCCGCGGGGCTCTCCGGGCCGGGCTTCACGGCGGAGGGCTGGCCGCCCGCGCACCTCGCCCTCAGCCCCGCCGACCTCCGCCGCCTCCCCCTCCTCGCGCCCCAGCACCTCACGGCCCGGTAGCTCGCCGGCGACGAGCGCCCGGAGAGGGACGCGATGGGGCACACGCTCGCGAGGGCCGTGGAAGCCATGGAATGGAAGAACCTTCTCCACTCTGCTGGTTTCGCCCGTGGATTCCAGTGTGCGCGCGCCGTTCAGAGTGGTGATAAAGAGGACCTGACGTCAGGGGATCCGGCTCCGGCGAGGTGGGGAGAAAAGCGCGCCACGTCTGCGCTGCACCGCTCGGGGGCTGCTCGCTGGGCCCCATGATTTGCCAGCTTGGAGCTATGTGTGCTGTGTGTGTGGTCTGTCGTGGTCGCGAAGTCGGCAGGGCGCACGATTCTCCTGGCAAAACGAGCAACATATTCTTCCAGCATGTCTTTGTTAAATCCTACTCCCTCCGTTGACAAGAACGTCTTTTTTTTTTTTGAGGATGACAAGAACATCTTATATTTGTGAACGGATGGAGTATTTGTTTCAGCCCAAGCAGGTATGGTTCTTAGCGATCATGATGGGGGCATCATATTCGGTTCATGTCAGCACTTGTTTTTCTAGGATGATGTGCTGGAAACGGAGATATTGGCTATAAAGGAAAGTCTCATTGTATGGGATGGGATTTGTGGCACGCGGGTGTGGGGGCACATAGATAGTGGGCCGTCGATCTGTGCTATGATTTGTAATTTTGTCTGTGTATTGTTGTGTATTTGCTCTTCTATATTAGTAAGGACATATCTGTATTTGCATCGTAAATTAAAAGTAAAAGTAGTATACCTGTTTCCATGGGACCATTTTCGAATGTACGTAACAAGTGTCTAGTAAAATGGAAGCCTTGTGTTAAACCGTTCAATGTGTTCTTCTCCCAATATATTTTTGATGTACCCTCTGCATCTCTTCTTAGAGCTCTTGAAGTACCATCTGCTTCTCTTCTTAGAACTCTTGAAGTACCAACTGCTTCTCTTCTTGGTACTCTTGAAGTACCATCTCCTTCTCTTCTTAGCAGTCTTCTAGACGAGAAGGATCCAAGCTATTCTGTTACGAGTCACTCAGAGACGACAATGACAAAACAACAGTACGAGATGTATTATCGAAAAAGGCTTTCACCCCACTTTATAGGTAAAAGGAAACCACCACAGCCACAAGGTCCAACCGATGTTCAAACCGCACGCGCGCGCGCAAACACACACACGCAACCACAATACAGACACACAAACACATAGTACAAGAGGGTTCTGCTAAGGGCACAACAACTCAGCAATCCCTAAAAGAAGAAAAAACAAGTGCGGTAGCCAAATCCTCGAATGGCTAATCCGGCTCTGGGGGTGGTGGAGGAAGCGGCAGCGCCAAGTGAAGAGCCATCGCGCGGAGATCTGCAATGTTGATTTTGATGTTGATGGCGTCTCGGTCTTGGGGGCGGCTAAGCGGCCTTCAAAGCTGCAAGTAACCATAGAATTTGAAAATCGCGTCAGTGGCACGGCAGAGGGGAACACGCTGGATGACTAGATGACTGCAGACGGTCCAGAGCGTCCACACGAGGACCCCGATGCCCAGCCACCTAATGTGGCGAGCGTGGTGGGGTTGCCTCGATTTCCTCGAGGAGGTCGGGGAAGTTGGTGTTGCACCAATGCCCACCCACGGCATCATGGAAGCAGCTCCACATGAATTGAGTCGACACACATGAGAAGAAGATGTGATTCGAGTCCTCAACTGTCCCACATAGGGGGCATAAGCCGTCTCCAGGGCCATTGCGCTTGAGCACCCCGCGCCAGAGGGGATACGGCCCCAGATCCACTGCCATAGGAATATCCGAATTTATAGGGGGAATCTATTCTCCCAAACCTGGGTAAAGACCGCGGGGGCTGGTGAGGGCGCAATGGCCTGATAAACGGACATGGTGAAGAACCGCCTGGAGTGATCTAAGAGCCAAGAGATATGGTCGGAGGGTTGACCACCACCGGGGGTGGAGAGCGATGCAATCCAGGAGGTCCTGCCACTCGGCTAACTCTGTTGGACCAAACGGCCTTCTGAACGCAAGACGTCCTAAGTCAATAAGGGCCGTCTGGACGAACACGTTTGGAACCACCGCTATGGAGAACAACACTGGCAACCGGGCGGCAAAGGGGTGATCCCTAGTCCACATGTTGAACCAGAATAGGGTCGAGGAACCCTACCCCACCGTAATGGAGGTCCCGATGCGAAGGACTGGGAGTAGCTGAATGATGGACTGCCATAACTGTGAGCCACCAGACCGCTGACAAAAGGCGGGCGGCTGTCCGTAGAGATATTTGTTCCGGATAATGTCGAGCCATAGGCTGCCCTCTCCATTTGCAATCCTCCATAGCCAGCAGGTCAGAAGGGCGATGTTCATGCGTTTGGGAAACATGATCCCAAGTCTGCCCTGGTCTCTAGGCTTGCAAATGTCAGGCCAGCTCGCCATATGATTTTTTTGCTTATCTCCTTCCCCAGCCTAGTAGAACCTCGCCTTATATTTGGCAATCTCATGATGGAGGGTCTCGCGAAGGCTGTAGAAGCTCATGATGAACAGGAGCCAGCCAGAGAAGGAGAAATTAATGAGCATCGTCCTCGCCGCCTTAGAGAGCCACCAGCCCTGCCAGGGTTCGATGCACCTTTGCAGCTTGCTCACCGTCAGGCGGGGTCTGTGGAGGAGAGGCGCGGGTCATTGATGTGGATCCCCAAATAGGACGTGGGGAAGGTACCCAATTGGCAATTGAGCCGATAGGCAATATCTTGGGCCTCAGCAGGCAAGTATCCCGTCACCATCACTGCACTCTTATCAAAGTTGATCGAGAGACCCAACATCTGTTGGAAACACAGCAGGAGGAATTTCAAGTTTGCGGTGTCCTCCGTGGAGCTGGACACCATGATAATGGTGTCATCAGCGTACTGCATGAGGGAAACCCATCCCCTCCAACTAGGTGAGGCAGAAGGCCGTGGATGTGTCCCGCTGCCTTAGCCTTGTCGAGGATGGCGGCAAGAGCATCAACAACCATGTTAAATGGAATGGGGAGAATGGATCGCCCTGTCTCACCCCACACAGGGTGGGGAAGAAGGGGCCGATCTCATTGTTAATTTTCACCAAGGTACGTCCACATGACACCATCTACATCACGCGAGTGATCCATCTATTGTCGAATCCCTTACGGAGGAGGACCTCCCGAAGGGAGGACTAGTGGACAGTGTCATAGGCCTTATGGAACTCAATCTTCAGGAAGACCACCTTCTGCTGTCTAGCGCGAACCTGGTGAAGGACTTCATGAAGAACGAACACCCCATCCAGAATGTATCGACCTTGGACAAAGGCTGATTGGTTCGGATGGGTGATGTGGTCTACTAACTGGGTCACCCTATTGGCATACACCTTCGCCATGATACGAAGATCACATTGATCACCGTTATATGGCGGAACTGGCGAATGTCCAAGGCCCCAGCCACCTTAGGGATAAGAGTGATGATCCCGTAGTTCAACCGAGCTAGATAAATCGCGCCGACGCAAAATTCCTCAAAAAGCGCCATCACCTCTGGCTTGATGACATTCCAGAAGGTCTGGAAGAACTTGACCGAGAGGCCATCTGGGCCCGGAGCAGACGCTAGACGTATTCCAGAAGCTTATCTTAAACAGGTTAGTCGACGTTGTATCTTTGATGTTCTGCGGGTTTCGTCTTTGCACAAGTTATGAATATGGTTGCTGGTATTCAATCTTTTTTTTTCTTTTAGGTGCTTCTACTACTAGTTTCTCCTGTTTCAGAAACTCGGATCTTTGGCTTATCGAATCTTGTTAGTAAGGAAAATTTTGGGCTCGGATGTTAGAACACAAATACTGATGTACATATGTAGTTTACGAACCTAGGATGTGATTGTAAGTACCGAAAATTAAAACTTAGAAACTTTGGGGCAAGTACGTCAATTACATACACTAAAACGTAGGATATTATGTTAGTTACAGAAAGTGAAACTTACAACACATGTACTCTCTGGTACCCTTAGAAGAATGTGGATCACACGGTTATTCAATATTTGTACAATAACACAAATTGAATATGGATTATTACATTGAAAATAAAAATAGATGCACTTAGATATGTATGTAAAATTGTGTTCGCGAAAAAAGTTAGTAAATTTAACATGATTATTACATACAAGAATAGAATTACATTACGAACTTAATTTCTGAAACTTTAATTGATTTATAGATATACTACATAAATTTTTGACAGACTTGAATGACTGATAGTTCGCTGTAAAATTAAATGTATGCATTAGTTATAAAATTTTCAAGTTAACTTATGCACTCGTAAAGTAGCACGTGAATGTATTTCTTAAGTTGCATGGATCAGTAAATAATTTAACTGCTTGTTTCGGTCACTTGATTCTAGTTTACTTGCCATGCTTGGATAAGGAGGCTAGACAGGCTTTGTCGTATTTTTAGCAATCCAACGCTACAACACGCTCTACCCCTAGGGTCTTGTTTGCCAAAAGCGTTGACGTAGATCATGTCGTTAGTACAGGTGATTGTGTTAGCTGGTTGGTAAGACTCTTAGCGCTAGCGTATGAACATATGACAATGCTAATGCCTTCTAGCAATAGAGGGTTGATTGAGCCTGAGGAGGGTATCTTTGATCTTTGCGTAGGGCTCAACAACTTTTGCAATTATATGATTCACCGACAGCGATCAGCTGCACGCGAGAGGGCTCGGATGGCTCTGGCATGCCTCAAGGAGTATTGGCATGCCTCAAGGAGTATCAAAAGGATATGGACGTTCACGACATCATGTGGACGGAATTTGATCTAGCTCCCCTCTCACAGGAGGTTATGCACGCCTTCAGAGTAGTGAAGTGTTGCGAGTACAAGGAGATCTTAGACATTTCATGGAGAATTGGTTGGATGCCTGGATTAGATGTTTGTCGTGTTATCTTAGTATGTGACGGCTTGGATGAAAGGTTGTTTTGGGCCGACTGACTATAGCATACTGCACCTGGTTGCTTTTATTTTTCCATTCTTCTGTTGTCTTGATGTTGATGGTATCCGATCCTATTTTACGATCATAAACTGAATGTTTATGTTTGTAAAACCCCAT